ACTGCTACTTTTAGCTTTTTACTACTGAACTGCTACTTTTAGCTTTTAACAATCAAACTGCTACTTTTAGCTTTTAACAATCAAACTGCTACTTTTAGCTTTTAACAATCAAACTGCTACTTTTAGCTTTTTACTACTGAACAGCTACTTTTAGCTTTTTAGTACCAAACTGTTACTTTTGGCTTTTTACTATCAAACTGCTACTTTTAGCTTTTTACTACTGAACTGCTACTTTTAGCTTTTTACTACCGAACTGCTACTTTTAGCTTTTTACTACCGAACTGCTACTTTTAGCTTTTTAGTACCGAACTGCTACTTTTAGCTTTTTACTACCGAACTGCTACTTTTAGCTTTTTAGTACCGAAATGCTACTTTTAGCTTTTTACTATCAAACTGCTACTATGGGGAGCGGGGGCTCAGAAGTTCGAGAGGTTGGGCCTGTGATTGGAAGGATGCCAGTTCAACTCTCCAGAACAAAATGTGGGTGGGATAGGTGAAGCACCCTCATCTGCCTCCACCCTCATCTGCCCGACACTGGGCCCTTGAGCAAGGCCCTTAACCCACCCCCAATCATCTGCTCCCCTGGGCGCCCTAGACAGCAGCTCTCTGCTCCACACAGAGGGCTGTGGTAGCTCAGTGGTCTGTGGTTGAGTCAGGAAGAACATCTGGTGGAACAACATTTGCCAAGTCTTCATGAGAGTTAGTTTGCTGTGGTGACCCCTGAAGAAGGGAGCAGCCGAAAGAAGAAGAAGAAAAAAACTACTGAACCGCTACTTTTAGTTTTTAGCTCATTTAAAAATTCTAGCTACTGTTTTGCTGATTTTAGCTTTGTGCCTTGTTTCACAAATGTCAGCAAAGCCATTCAGCACTCAGCGTTTACATTTAATTTTGTTTTGTATGATTTCTTTTGTTTGTTTGTTTGTTTATTTATTTATTATCCCACATGAACAATAAAAACAAGCAAAAGTTTGTGGTATTTTTAATATTCACAATGTTGAAAAACCTTTCAGTGCTTCTATGTATAAGCTTTATTAACTCTTCTATATTAGTCAGTGTTTGCTCGTTTACCTGAAACTCCTCATCTTTATAGATTTTGCTCTAGAACATCTCCTGCATGAGTTACCCAAGGAGACGGTTTGAAACCTGTGCCCCATGATGTTCTGTGTCTAATGAGCCTTTGTTTACTATGTTGGCTTTAAGAGCAGCAGTAAACAAAGGGGGTATCTTACGTTGTACAGGGGGATGCTCTTCATGGCTTTATACTGCTTCAGGGGGTCCATTTTATACAGGTGGCGGTCGGTGATGAGCACGGCTCGGTTCTCTGCCTTGTGGAAACGGTTGATCTGGGAAACACAGAGCTCCTCATTAGTCATCCCAGGAGGCAGCAGGAGCAACAACAGGCCAACGTGCACACGCCCTGCGGGGAGATGGGGCTGTCCAGCAGCAGCTCAGATTTGTTCACACCTGCTGCAGGTAGACGTGGATAGACGAGAACAAAAGCTTGTAAAGCTCGTTACCTTTCGCACGTTGCAGGAGAACAAAACTCTCATGAACTTGTCTTTGCGCTGCAGCTCGCTGGAAACGAGCGTGAAGGATGAAGCTGCGTCGGGGCTGTCGCCTTTCTGTCAAACACAACACGCAACAACTCGTGTTAACACGGCAGCATTTAGATGAAATTGAAGAAAAGCTTAAAAACGTATATCGCCCGTAAACGTACAACTTAAGGGAGTGGAAGGATCTTGTATCATAAAGTTTTATCTGAAAATAAAATATCTGAATCTTGTTTAAGTCATTCAGTCACACGGAGTAATAAACCCGTTGAATGCAACCGTTGTCAACAAGCAGTTTAATACTTGTCACCCACCACCATGAAAGGTGGGCGATCATGTAACAGTCTGCGTGTGTGTCCTGCAACGTTTGCAGGGTTCTCAACTTCCTCACTTGAATGTTGCTCAAAATATTTGTGTAACAAAGTTTCTTCAAAAACTGTGGTTGTCTCAAACCCTTTTCGATTTAGTCTCGAGTGACTTCAACTTGTCTTGAGACTAAAAGTTATTTTCTGACTGAGAACATCGGAGGAACCACAAACATCTAAAACCACACCAGTGATAAAAATAAAACTGGTCCAATGCTGCCCAGCTTCATTTCAGATGTGCACCGTGGTAGATTAAATCAAACATCTGGGAGGTTTCTAAGATTAGTACAACGTAATCCAAGGTGGGAATCAAGATAAAGGCCAAGAATACGGTTTTGTGAGCTTTGCACAGAAAAATTAACCGTAATTTTCTAAAAGTGGCCTCTCAGAAAACGGCTGAGCAGCTCACCGATCGCTGGGTCACAGTCGAATTTCAGGGAGGCTGCAACGTAAGATTTGCCTACTTTCATGCAATCTTCTCAGAATACTTTGTTAATCCCAAAGGGAAATTAAATGTTGTAGCTCATCATCCTGGTTTCATTAAGAGTTCTAGGTGATGACGGCTGTGGGCAGGAAGGATCTCCCACAGCAGTCCATCCCGCTGCGGATCTAAAGAAACTGGCCGCAGATGCCAATCCGTCCACCCAGACCCAGCGGGCCTCTTGGTCGTCCTGGGCAGCAGGACCACCTGAATCTTGGGCAGAACTTCTTCCTGAGCGACTCCTCTCAGCAGCTTGCAGCCAGCCAGCTGCAGGTGTCGGGGGATGATCCTGTTGTCATGAGCCACGTTTCCTGCCAGCTCCAAGGATCTCAGCAGACAGTCACTTGAGCACCTTTGCCAGGTAGACGGCGATGCATCCACGGCGCCTCTTTTACAACTCATTTGTGGTTTGGGGCTGTATTTGAGGTGTTATTTGAGATCTGAGATGTTCATCAGTTGCTCCCGGTTGTAAAAACCACCTTGTTGTCATGGTTACGCTTCATAACAAATGTTCACAAGTAAGTAAAAAGGTTTCAGTAAAAATCCTTCCAGCTGCACAGCATCAGATACCAGAGGAAGTAATCATCCCAAAAAAAATAAAATAAAAGCCATTAAAAAAGCCTCAAAAAAGTGGAACTAAAGTTTTCAAAAGCAATATCCCAGAATGAAAGTAACAGCTACTCCAACATGTAGCCACCTTCAGCGGCACAATCCTAGAGCTTTTAGTCCAGTTTGCCTCCCCAACAGTTTAACAGTCTGCTGGTTTACCATGTCCAGTCATCCAGGACACGGTAAATTCAAAAAGGTTCAAGACAAAAACAACTGGACTTTATTTATAACAGAAGACGTTTCGCTTCTCATCCGAGGAAATTCCTCAATTCAAAGAACAGAGCGAGTTATAAAGCTGAGGTAAGCTAGGTGCATATGCAGATCGCCCTATCGCTCCTCACAATAGGGGTTCGTTAGGGTCTTTGTTAGTCTGACTCACAGATGGACTCTGGTGACATGGATGAAATTCCCGATAGGAGTGAAAATGACTGCGTATCAGTCCTAAAGCTGCTTTATAAGTTTTAGAAAGTTGAAATCTGAGACCTCCTCTTCTGTTTAAAGATGGTTTCCCTCGTTTTATACAAATGGCTTCCTTTACCCCCACTTCTTTCAAACCTTCGGCCTTCTCGATCTCCAACAGTCCCATACTACCTTCAAGGTGTCAACATAAAGTTTACAGACATGTTGATCCTCTTCTGCTTCTGCTCGTTACTTGCGATACTTAATAACAGCGTCTGCATGTTTCCATTTAAACATCGTTTGTGCTTCTCTTCAGACATGGTCTTTATACAGTCTTTTAGATTATACTTTAACCTCCTAAGACCTGAACTCTGGCATATGTGGATGCCAGGTCCTAGGAGGTTAATACGCTGTTTGTCTTGCAAAACACAAAAATCATGTTTCCAAACATGTTGCTCTTTCACTGCCATTGGTGCCTCTGAACACGACGAGCTTTAGGCAACATTTACACAAAAGTGACAGAATGTAGTCACTGAAACACGGCATGAAATTATTAATTTAGTTCACTCTGAGGAGGTTTGTAAAATCCAACATCTAAATGTTGTTGTGCACAACAGAAAGAGCAACTTTGTTTCAACACAAGAAGCTGTTTTATCGTTTATTTCTGAAAAAGAAAACTAACTTATGTGAAACCAGAAGCTAGGTAATAAAAAAAATAATATACAAGGCATTTAAAACAATTGTTTCTGTGCAGTACGTCTTTAATTCGACCTACTCACCATGTAGTTTCCTTCCCAGGATCTCTGTAAGCCCAAGTCGACCCTTTGGCCCTTCAGGGCCTCCAGGCCGGCTACTTTGGCCCTGACCTGCAGAGTCTCCTCTGGAGAGAGGTTTTTGATCAGTGTCCATGCCCACCACCTGAAGGAAGCATCAACAACATGCATCAAGAGTAAACTCATCACAGGGGGAAGAAATTCAATAAAAAAATCTTTCTCCATCAGTGCATGTTGAGAAAACCTTGAGCTAGCAGCTGAGTTGTGCCTTCACCTTTTGACTCACAAACCCTGACAGCCAACATAATTCTCAAGCAAAGCTCTTTTCTAACTGTGGACCAGACAAAAGGATGAAAGGCAGCGATGAGCCTTTGATGGAGGAAGAATAAAATCAATGCCCAGTTTGAGCCTGAGGCCGGAGGAAACATGTGTAAGCTGCTTCAAAAGGACACATCTGGTTTTAAATCACACTCGAGGCCACCTTTTCTCTAATGTGTGTGTATCTCAGGACAGATTTAGCCAATCCATGAAAGCTATTTTCATTAAAAATAAACTATTTGAAAACATTTAAATCTGGAAAAAAAGTTTGTTTTTTTTCATTCAACCTTTATTTATAGATTAATCCCATTGAGCCTCAGGGATTCTTTACAAGAGAGACCTGATTTTAACAAAGAGTGATGACAACAGTGGACAACAAAGACGACAATAGACGATCATAAAGGATGTGAACAAAATGAGATTTTTGTTAACAAGTGAAAATAAAACGGTATTTAAAAGAAAATGTAACAAAAAAACATCTAGATTACGAGGCGGTGTAGAAAACTAAAAGCAGGAACATGTCTGCGTTGGTTCTTGCCAGGAACTTAGATGTTTAACAGCCATTTAGAGAGGTCAAAGGTCGAGAGCTTCAGATCTTTTTGTAAGATATTCCAGGAAACAGGAGCGGAGTAGGAGAAGGCCCTTTTGTCTAGTTCAGTCCTCACTGAGGGAACACTGCAGGTAATGATGTCCTGAGAGCGCACGCTGTAGCTGCACTCACACAGAGACAAGTAGGAGGAGATGTATGAAGGCAGCAGACCAAGAAGTGATTTAAAGATGAAAATGTACCAGTGAGAGAGTCTGCGTGAAGTTAATGATGTCCAGTTAACCAGTGAATACTGGGTGCAGTGGTGGGTACGATAATCACAGCCAGTTATGAATCTTAGTGCACCATGATAGACAGCATCCAACATCTGCAGCGTCTAACATCTGCAGGGTTCTTGTAGGAGCGTTCATGTAAATAATGTCACCGTAATCAATGGAGGGAAGGAAAGTCACAGACACAAGGTGTTTTCTAGCATTCGGAGTTAAACAGGATCTGGTTCTGAAAAAGAAACCCAGTTTAACTTTCAGTTTCTTTACCAAGTTTTACACATGGAGCTGCGAGTCGACCAAGATACTCAAATATTTATAGGAATCAACAAACTCATAAGGGACGCCATTTGAGGATAAAATCAAGAGGAAGAACTGCTGGGACCGACTTCATGTTTGAAATAACATCCCTTTGGTTTTGTCAGCGTTTAGGACAAGTTTGAGATGGAACAAATCTGACTGGATGACGTCAAAGACAGATTGCAAAAGCTGGAAAATGTTTCCAACTGTTTTAGCTCGACAATAAACAACTGTGTCATCAGCATAGAAATGTAAAGATTCATCATTCATTCATTCAACCTTTATTTAGACAGGTTAATCCCATTGAGCCTCAAGGACTCATTTACAAGAGAGACCTGATAAGGGATGCTTTGACCTACATTACCAAGATGGTGGGTCCTAAGACTGAGCCTTGTGGTACACCATTGTTGACTGTTAAATAATTGGAAAAAACCTGCTGCCTCTCTGCTGCTGGAGTAATTTACTGAGTTTGAATTTGAGTAAATTGAATAAAATTTAGTAGTTTTACTTCAAATTTAAGTTAAATCAAATTTTTTTAAGCTGACCTGAGCACCAGATTTATGATGAAACGATTTAGAGGTCTGGTGTTCTGTGTGGATACCTGCTGTGGATGTTCTTCAGCGCTTCCTCGAACTTGCGCAGGACTTTGGGAGGCGTGGGCCACTTCACGTGTCGGCCGTAATCCTTCATGGATTTGACGTTTCTGAAGCGACGGTTGACCTCGCGGATGTAGGACTTGACCTTGTAACGCCTGTACGCCTGCAGGATGATGAGGGCGGCACGCATCCGCCGGTAACGCATTCTGGCAAGGGTGCCCCGCCAAACCTGAACACACAGAAACACGAGATAAATAAAGGACTAGCTTTGGGTGAAAAAACGCATACTGCCTGCTGCCTTTAGCGGCAGAGTCCAGTCTGGGAAATAACACCAAAATCACGCAACGTCCCAAAGAACGCTCAGATCTGAGCTCAAAATCTGTCACATTCACTGAAGTGTGGCCACTCCGGGGTACGCAAGGCTCAGCAGCCAGCTTGATCTGTACCAACTCCAAATGATAATCAGCTGTAGATGCACATCCATTGATTACTTTCTGGATGTTTTATCAAAATATGTCGGGATTTACGACATATTTTGATAAAAGGTGCAGACAATCAAACACAACTTTAATCAATTTAAAAGTGTGTTGATGGCTCAGAATGGAAACTGTTAAAAATGTGATAAGTGCAGCAGATCTGTTGACTTTGTGAGCGATTTCAAGTGAATGGTGTAAACCGGCCAAACAAAACAACCTAGTCTTCTATAAGTTGATGTTTTCTTGGGTTTTAAAACTTTGGCAGCACACCGTACAGTAATTAATAAAAACTTTCGGCTGCATTTAGCTTGTAAAACCACAACAAACTTCCCAGCATGTTGTTGACACGAAGCACTCGGCGGCAGCCAAAGCAAACTCAAATATTCAGAACAATCACATTGATTTTAAATGTCCTCGTTGTGAAGTCTTGAAAAATTTAACTTTTCCTTAAATTCCTAAATCCTAAATTAAACATTTGGAACCAGATGTCAACTAGAATATTTGTTTATATATGAAAAGATCAGAAGTGATTGAAAATAAGTCAAACTTTAAACATAACAGTTATATCTGTTTACTTGTTTACAGTTGATCTAACGAAGGTCACATGACAAGCTTTCATGTGGCTTTTGACAGATTCAGCTTTTGTTTACATTCAGTGTGGGCCCGCGTTAAGAACCGCACACGTGTTTATCTGGAAAACTACCAGAGTAAATTCCTTCAAACTGCACCTTTTGGAGAACCTTTTCATATTTGACATGGTTTGCAGTGAGTCCCTTTAATGAAGAAAGATGGTGAAAATTCAGAGTAACCAGTTTAATTTGAATGAAATACCTTTGGAAGGAAATTAATCTACACAGATACATCTTTTATGCTCAACAACACTTTAAGTTATTAGTTTACTGACCCACACTTTAAAAATCATAAACTCATTACTACAATGTGAAGCATAAAGAATAATGTTTTATTCTGAAACAAGCTTTGACAGAAAAAAAATCCACTGAAATAAATTGAATTAAAGCGGTTTAGATCACGAACACTGGTTGATTACAATGACATTTCATAATTAAATTATATAGTTCAGTTTAATCTAATAATTTACTCCCTGGACTCAATCTGGTTTGCCGTTATGATAAAAAAAAGTGTTTATTTTTCATTGCGAGTCCTTGACAACATGCATTCAGACAGAAAAAGGGCTAAAACAACAAAAACAAAGCTGGCTCTAAACAAACACGAGTCGAGTGGCTACAGCCCGTAACATGAATAATAGATGTAAGCGGGGCCCAGGGGAGCCACAGCGTCTAATCCAAGCTCTCTGAAATCACTACCGTACGCCCAGCTTGTACCGTATCCTCCCATTCACACAGACACTCATTTAGCTGTGCGTGTGCACCTCCTAAATATTCCTTCATGTCCACTAATCCAGTGTCACAAACCTAGCAATCACAAATTTAAGGCAATCCAACAAAGTGCTGGGTATGATTCTACTGCAAGGCGGAGTAATCATGAATATTTCATCTTTCATAATGCAGGGAAGGCCAGCAGTTTTGAAAAAAAAAGAAAGTTATGTTTTTACATTTGCATATTGAAACTGTGGCGCAGGCGTTTTTCAACTGATGAGACCAGAGGTGCAACAGCAGAGTAAAAGATAACTGAAACTACAAACAATAAAAGTTTAGAGCTTATTATGTGTCCAGAAAATAAAAAGAGTCCAGAAACCTACTTAAAGGCTTAACAGTCTGTGATGGAATATCACCCGCCATCTTTCAGACCAGAGCTGACGAGCGGGGCACCGATGTTCCCTGCAGATGAGGGATTTAAAAAGTAAACGCATGCAGTTTTGGAGATGAGTGTTTTTCTGGACTGGAACTGAACAGGGAATGGAAGAAACCTGAATGTTTTTGGTGAAAGTTATTCCAGTGAGTAGGAGTTACGCTGTAGAAGAACAGAGGGAGGTTCTTGCTTTGTGTGTCCGAGGCAGCGCAGGGCGATGAGTCCAGGCGAGTGGAGGGAGCGATTTTATCCAACCCCAGGAGCAGTGGCAGAGCCAGGGGGTGGCCAGTGGTGGCCTTGGCCGCTTCAGAATAATATTTGGCCACTCCATTTCAGAAAAATATACAGTAGTCTCTCGTTTATCGCGGGGGATCCGTGCCCTGAAGCTCCGTGGTCAGTGAAAAACCGTGAAGTAGGAATAGTAGTACAAGTAGTAAGTAGTAGTTTATTTTAGTTTTAAACCCTTCCCACACTTGTGCAATATTCTAAACAATGTTTCTAAACTCTAAACGCTCTAAAAGAGCACAGAATGTCATGATTTCAGCTCCCTGCCCCCTCCGCTCTCAACCATCTGCAACTCTTGGCCACGCCCACTTCTCCGTGCTGCACGGTGAACAGCTGATCAGCTGCAGCAGGAAGTTAATCCTGCAGCAGTGTGGGCTGCACAAAGGTGCAGGAGGTGCTAAATAATTTAAAATGATTTATTTTAAATATAAAAATTCCATGCCAATTGTGCGGCTCATCCATCCATCAGCCAGTTGTGTGTCATGTCCAATCTTATTTTGAAAAACCATGATAGAGCGAGGGACTACTGTACTTTCAAGCAAAAAAAATTTTTTTTTAAATAAAATAAAATGCAGTTTCCACAAATTATTGGGGAGGCCGGTTGTTATATACCAAGATTTGATGTTCTAGAATTGCGCCGCTGAAGGTGGCTGCATGTTGGAGCAGCTCTGTTACTTTCATTCTGAGATTTTGCTTTTGGAAACTTTAATTCCTCTTTTTCTGGATGTAAATCACATTTTTTGGATGATTGTTTCCTCTGGTATCAGACGCTGTGCAGCTGGAAGGATTTTTACTGAAACTTTTTTTTAGTTTTGGACATTTCTTATGATGCGTAACCACGGCAACAAGGCAGTTTCTGCAACCAGGAGCAGCTGATTAACATCTCAAAAGCTCAAATAATATCTCAACTACAGCCCCAAATCTCAAATGAGTTGAAAAGGATGTTCTGTGGATGCATTCTCATCTACCTGCCAGCTGTGCTCGAGTACCTGACCACTGAGATCCTGGAACTAGCAGGAAACACGGCTCACGACAGCGGAAGGACAGGATCGTCCCTCGGCGGACTGCTGGGAGGAGTGACCATCGCTCTGGGAGGAGTTCTCCCCAGCATTCAGGCGGTCCTACAGCTCGGGGGGGCCGGGAGGCTGGCCAAGACTGGGTGGACGGATCAGACGGCATCTGCAGCCAGTTTCTTAGGATCCACTGTAGGATGGACCTTTACAAGAGATCCTTCTTGTCAACAGACCTCAGCATCTATAACATCTCTTAATGAAATGAGGATAACGAGTTACAACAACAAATAATTTCCCTTTGGGGTTAATAAAGTATTTTTGAATTTGAATTGAATATATATGAACAGCACTCAGATTAGGTGTTGAGGATGATTCCCAGAGACTAACTCACTAAGATTAGCTCAGTATCTGTAAAATTAACCGAGTTAGACCTTTCTGTGATTGCTAACGTTTATTAGCAAACATCCATCTCGAATCTGCATTACTCCAAAAGTTAATCAGCTGTAGTTGTGCAACAAATGATTATTTTCTGATTCTCATTTAAGCCCGTCTTATAGTTCATACAATATTTTGCTAACAGACACAGGACATTACACAATGGCCTGCGTTTCATAACGGCAGGCACTAACTTTATGTACACATGGAAAGAATTGAAGAATTTACAGAAACCAGGCTGGAATGTTTTACATCGTTTAGGGTGATTTAATAATATGCTGCGTGATTTTGACCAAATTAATAAACAGAAGCCGACAGTACTCAGCTCTGTAAGGTGAAACTTTATTTTTGTTTCTGCTCGTGTAATCTCCGTTACTGTTCCTCCACTGCTGTGCTGGCGAACATCTCTAACATGGTTTCTCTGGATAAATGACGATTGACGACCTCGTCCTGTTTTCACCACCCTGCACCGTCTCGTACATAATGCATGAGAAAGAGCGGAGAGCGATTACATTTTCATCACCGATTGTTCCCCGAGATGAGCCTCCCACGTGCTCAGGATGGCAGCGAGGGAGGAACCAAGGGCTCTCAGGAATTTCTCTGGGAAGGAGGTCCATTTAAATTCTGACTGCATTCAGGGAGGAACTCACACCAGGCTGGGTTTCATGATGCTACTGTCAAAATGTTGTCCGAGTAAAACAGACATGAACTGGCGTTAAATTTGAATTTAAAATCAGACAAACCCTCGTGGGTTCAACGTTTCAAAAACAGATTTTTCAGATACAATTTTAAACTGTTATTACTTTAAGTGCATCAATAATAACCTACGATGTATAACTTTTAATTAAGGCTTTAATTGGGGACTGCCTAGTAAGCGGCAGCACCCATTATTATCCAACTGACAACGGGTTTCTTAACTTTATATCTAACTCTTCCATCACTTTAATGCGGCCCGAACTGTTTCGAGTTAACATGGTGAAGTAATTTGCAAACAAAGCTAAAAGAGAAAAAATATGATAACTCAGCCGTTTTTAGAACTATTCAGCTGACATTTGGTGTGTTGGTAGCCGAGAACAATCTCTAATAGACTGAAAATCAAAAATCCAAGATGGCCACCTGAGCTAAAAGGAAAAATACTATAAATTAGCAATTTTTAGAGTTATTCATTGGTGTGTTGGTAACCAAGAGCAATGTCCACTAAATATTGAATTTAAGAATAAAAATCCAAGATGGCCACTTTAGCTAAAAGG